TCGCGTTTTTTCTTTACGATGAAACCGAAAGACGGACAGACATTGTTTCACATGTATATCTTGCACTTGAGCTTGCGATATGTTCCTCAATCCTTCTTTGTAAATGGCAAAAACGAATTTTCTCCGCCACTATTTACACGCCGAGACTTGTATATCTGGTTGATTACACCATGAGTCCCGCTGTTTCGTGAGCACATTCTTTTTTTCTCTTTCTCTCTCTCTCTCTCTCTCTCTTTTTATTTCTTTTCTTTATCCCTCTGTCACATTCGATATATATATATATTATACACGCAATATATATATTTATACTCGTATAACAAAACAAGTCTTATTCGTACCCGCTCTCTCTTTCTCTCTCTATATATATATCTCGACAACAAACCTTTTCTTTATACCAGCTTCTCAGCTTTTGCATCTGAAACTTTGTGCAGCTTCTATCTATCTTTTCTTCTATTCTTCTTCTTCTTCTTCTTCTTCTTCTAACTTTAATCTTTCAATACACTTGAGTAAAGAGCAAAAAAATAAATAAATAAATAAAAGAAAAATAAAAAAGAAGGAAAGAAACTTTCTCTCCTTTCGTTTCGCTTCTTCTATCCGATGATTAATCACCGTGCAATCCATGTTTGGTATTTCAAGCTCGGAACTTTATACATATATATATTTTTTTTTTTATTATCGCGATTCTCCCCTTCTCTCTCTCTCTCTTTTTATTTACTTTTTTCCAACCAGTCAGGCAGCTTTCATTCGAACGAAAATCCAAACGCGATTCCTCTAAGAAAATCTTACTTCTCAGCATTCCGTTGTTCAGAGATCTTCCTCTTAAGATTATATACAAATATACAGATATACACGACAGATTAGCTCGATCGAGATTCACGATTTCGTCGAGAGATAAATAGAATAACAACGAAACGACGGATGAACGTATATTTCTTTTTTCTTCTTCTTCTTCTTCTTCTTCTTCTTCTTCTTTCCTTTTCACCCACTATTTTTTCTCTTTATTCCACTCTTTTTCTCTGTCGCTGTCTGTCTCTAATTTCTCTCTGTTTGCTGGAAAGCTTACCCTCAAAAATAGGAGAACCGAGAAGTAAAAGAGAAAGAAAAGCTTATCGTCCATGTTTGCGTTCGGCGTTATGCGTTTCTAATGGACCATTTTTTTTCTTTTTTTGACTCTGAATCGAAGCAGGATCAACGATCTCTCTCGATTTAATTGGCCCCGATTGGCAACGTGGCGTTCCGTTGTGTTACGCAAGAAATTTGACTGGTCTTTCTGACACGCTTCTCCTCGATTTTTCGTAGAAACAGGGATTGCGAAGGAAACGAATGTTTGAAATGTTTGAAAGGAAAAAAAAAAAAAAAAAAAAAA